AGCGCACAAAAACCTACAATCCCATATTTTTATTTTATTTTTTGGCCTACTATCCCAGGATTTAAGAATGTTGGAGTCTTCCGACCGCACTTGGCCGCGCGCGCCGCCCGCTCCACGTGCCGTCAAATGGCCTGCGGTCAGGACCGCGGGTGATACATAGGCTGAGGGACCTGAAGCCCCCCCTGGCTAGGGGGCTGCACTACTGTGGAATATGGGTGGCTGATCAAAATCTCAGCACACCCAGATGATGATGATGATGATGATAGTTATTATTTTTTCTACTGCTGCACCAGCAGTTTGGCAGCACTGAAGACCCCCCTGGCTAGACGGCTGCACGTCAGTGCAATTCAGGGTGGCTGATCAGGATTTCAGCCAAAGTTTGACTATTTCATTTTAATTTTTTTTTGCTGCAGCAAAAAGCTGTCAGCACCTTGAAGGCCAAGATCCTGGGGATTTTTGTGATCTTGTTGCTCTTGGTCAACCGAGAGACTGGTATCATCTCTCCACTAACCTACTCCCAACCCCCCTCTCTCTCTCCCCTACACCATCTCATCACCTCTTCAACCTCTACCACTACCCCCCCCCCCTCTTCACTCATCTTCCATCATTTTCTTCTCCCTTCCCCTCCCCACTCACCATCCTCTGCTAAGCTTTTCTACTCCCCACTTTTCTCATCGCTTTCTCTCTCATTCTCCCACCCCCCTCTATCCCTTCCCTCCCCCAACTACAACCCAATCAGCCCCCCACCTCCCACTCCAATATTTTTCACTTTCTCTCCTCTTTCTCTCTTTCTTCATCACTTTGTCATTCTCCCTCACCCCCAACTTCTTTTGTCTTTCTCTTTAATTCAAATTTTCATTTTTCTCTTAAAGTTTGAATTATCTTATCCCCCTACTTTTTTCCAATTTTTCTGATTTATTTTATTTTTATTTTTATTACTCTGAAATTTCGATGGTTTTACTGCACCTCTATATTTGCTTAGGACTTAGTTATTTCAACTATCGCCGCACATTTTGACCCCTTGGGATTAACGAACTGTTATCGAAATTTTCTCTTTTCTCCCAACTCTCTCCCATCTCACGTAAGGTCGGACCCCACATAACCGCAGAAAGGAAAAACTTTGCTGCAAAATTGTTTCAAGGACCCTTCAGGCTGCCCAAAATGTCCTGCCAACATCTGTGAGGAGCTAAAGAATAGGTGGGCTAAGAGGGATTGGCTTCCTGATGCCTACCTGGGCGGTGGACCCAGCGAAGGTGGAATGTGCGGTGTGTTGTGACGCCCAACCTCACGCGCGACACGACTTCCTGATCGGAGTGGGATGTGGGCCTGGAAGTGCGAAAAAAGGGTGTGCCAAGGATTTTTGGGAAAGTGGGGGTGGAGTCCCAGGTCAGAATTGAGATCTCCGGTGGCAAAGTTTCAGGGGCATAGGTGCAATGAGGCAAAGGGGCGGTTTATGTTGTGAAGCATACAGCAGATGGCATGCGCGGTGCATCTCAGGCCGTTTGATCCCCCCGTTCCAGTGACGGTGGTCCGTATGGGGTCCGTTGTGTGAGTTGCAAGTTCTATGGGTCAGACCTCCGGGTGTGGACACATGTCGATTGTCGTCGCGCGTTGTGGTTAGGCTCCGTAGTTCCGAAGGATCGGCGGTTGCCGCGTCGTCTGCAATTTCTACATGGCATATGGGGCCAATACGGGGCTATGGAATTCCACGGCACCACTGTGAGTTGGTGGTAGGGGAGGAGAACATGGAAGGGAGGGAAATTTGTGGCGATAACAACGAAGTCGGGGGATATTAAATATTGCGTGTTATAAGTAGTCAGGTAGTCGAGACACCTCAGATCGTTGGTTACGATACGATAAAAGTCCCTGGCGCACAGTCGGTTCTCAGTTAGGGAGGGAAATTTCGGATATCTCCGCCTAAGATATTCTTCCTCCCAGTGCTCTAAGTAGTATGGGTCCCGTATGTACGTCATCTTGTTATTGCGGCGTAATGGAAACCTTCCACACGCATCTGATTGACAAGGGAATTTTCGGGTAGGGTGTCAAAAATTCCTACCGGCTCAGATGCTTGCAA